GGTCTACAGAGTGAGTTCCAGGACAGCCAGGGCTACACAGAGAAACCCTGTCTCGAAAAACCAAAAAAAAAAAAAAAAAAAAAGTAAACTTTTTTTTTGCATGTATACCTGCAAGCCAGAAGAGGGCACTAGATCTTATTACAGATGGTTGTGAGCCTAGTCTTTAATGGCTGAGCCATCTCTCCAGCCCTAACTATCTTTTCTTATTGGAATTTTCTGTGCCACAATCTGCTTAGAATATAACTGAGGTTCCAAATATTGAAAAGATAGTGCCTTTGAATCTTTTCTGGAGCAACAACCACGCCCCAAAATTTTAAAGCTTGTTGTCTGAGAGCAAAGGTTTGCAGTAAAACTCCTTCAGAGAGATCAGCTAAAAAAATACCATACAATGAATAATATACACTGAACGAATTTAAACTTCGTGTATTAAAGCAACAACAAATTTTATATATAATATAGGCTATTAGCCATTTCTTAAGGCAAAACTTTCCAATGATATCAATTCATGGGCTCTCCAAAATTACAAGCAAACCCACTGAATGCAAACCTCCCTCCTTCACCAGGATGTAAAGGAAAGATATAAAAACAATCTTCTAAATCGATAATAATTATATGCATTTTCTGGAATGGCAGCTGGAGTAGGCAAGTCAAGCTGTAATGTCCCACAAGTTTCATAAATCTTAAGTTTGAACTTTGTTTTTGATTAATTGAATAACCAATCCCTTGTAGCTGAGTGAGAGTATCAGATAAAGGCCAGGTTGAAGGCCAGTCTTGTCCTCTCTTTGAGCAATTATTTTATTAGTAGGCACAGCTTATAATACCATGGAGGAAGCAGGCATAATTTAATTTTTTCAGCAATAATCATTATCCATAACTCCTGGCCCATAAGCTATCTGTTGTGAATGTTTTTGGGTCTGAAGCTGACCTTTCCTCCCCAAGGAGGAAGCAAGGCAATAAACAAATTTCCAGAAAACACCTTTTTAGGGGCTGGTCAGGATGACCAAGACAAAAGGAATGTCATACAAGCTTCTGCTGAGCCCACTTGGAGCTTATCTTAACTCAAATGTAAAAGTTCTTAATCTGGGCCTATTTCCTGAGGCCTGGCCCAATGCTTATTCTTCCTGCACTGAGGACAGATTCCAGGGGGGTGATTCTGTTGTCTGTCTATGCCTCTATTTTTTGGACAGTCTTTCCTAAAATGACCTATGCCCCCATACTTAGAGCATTCCTTATCACCTCAGCACTGTTAAAGCATGGCTTGGACTGTAGTTAGCATTCTCAGAAGCCAATTAGGTAACAAAAGGAGCTCCTGTCTGAAGGTCTCTAAAATTTCTACCAGTCAAGTTTAGCAGCCTATTTCAAATTCAAGAAACGGTTCATCAGGGCCTTGTGTGATCCCAGCTAAAACTTCCACTGAGATCTCCTTTTCAATCTTGGGGGACTCAGTTTGCCTCTACCACTGTATCTAATAAAGCTGTAAAAGTGTCAGTAGGGTTGTACTATGCTACAGCTGTTAACTTTTATTACTCTTGGAATCATCTTGATCTGCTCGATCCTCTTCTTGACTATAAACATGAGTAATTAAAAAATCTCGGAGCTCACAATTGAACTGCCAACTGTAGCCAATGGAACATTGACAATTTAACTATTTAAGTTTCTTTTGCAATATTAGAGTCAACAATGTAAACAATCCATTCTCTATAAAATCCACACCAAGTGCATTACTCTCATCTTACAAAGTTTGGCTGCCAGTTCTTATATATGAATGCATGATAGTACAGCTTTTAATATCTCATTAAAGAGACATTGTTTTAGATCTTGTCCTTTGTACATCTGGTTTCTGAATGACTCCAACCCTGAGTTACCAGATTTAAGCCAGCTTTCTGTTACCAAAGTTGCAAATTTTTAATTATACCCAATAACTTACAGGCCAATAATCTATACCCAAAACACACAGCACGTATTTATACCTTTAAAACTAGTCAGAAAGAAAAGTGAAGTGGCTAGGCATCTTATATATTTTACCTCCTCAAGTTTTTTTTAAAAAATTTATTTATTTTACGTTTATGAGTACACCATTTCTGTCTTCAGACACACCAGAAGAGGGCATCAGATCCCATTGCAGATGGTTGTGAGCCACCATGTGGTTGCTGGGAATTGAACTCAGGACCTCTGGAAGAGCAGTCGGTGCTCTTAACCACTGAGCCATCTCTCCAGCCCAGCATCTTATATATTTTATCCAAACAAAATTTTCTTAGTTTTTCTAGCTGTAATTTCAAGAGAAAAGCACCTTGTCACTTGTTGAACCCTATAAACACTGTCACAGATATTTCTAGGAAAAGCAACTATCAGCTTCCTTATCATAGAAGCCAAAAAGCTGTTGACCCCTTTAAGAGCAGTTTATGCAGTCAGCTCCTGGAAAGGCTTCTCCAGCTGAGGTTGACCCCTAGTTACAGGTTCAAGGTAACTTATCAGCATCTGCTGTGCATATTAAGATTACCTTTTAAACAAGTTAAACTAAATCAAGGGGTGGATAGTTTTAACCATTTTTTTCTTTTGAACATGAAACAGAATAACAATCATTCAAACAAAACAAAAACAGACAATTGACACACGTGGACATATTGCCTCCCCAAGGACAGACAATAGACAGAGAAAGTAGAACTAAGGAATTCTCTGGTAGGAGCCAGAGAGAAAGCAGGACGTCTCCTGATTTTCTCCTGCCCCTAGGAGAGCTCTGAAATAGCCTTTTTCCTTCTCTTTCTCATCAATAGTCCCCTCTTGGGGAAACCATGGACAAACATCCCTGATGAAAGTAAAGAATTTTTTTTTTTTTTTCCGAGACAGGGTTTCTCTGTGTAGCCCTGGCTGTCCTGGAACTCTCTCTGTAGACCAGGCTGGCCTCGAACTCAAAAATCCGCCTGCCTCTGCCTTCCGAGTGCTGGGATTAAAGGCATGTGCCACCACTGCCCGGCAGGTAAAGAATTTTTTAAGATCTTTTTTCTAAACCTACATTCCTTGTGTCTTGAGGGACTCCTTTAGACTCTTTAAAAATAAATCATGCTTACTTAATGCTTGTCCCAAGATTGCGTTGCTCTATTTTAAACAGATCAATCTCACAGGTGGGTGGCTCTGTGGCCATCACAATGCGGATCTTCTCTCAAATTCACATTGAAGCAGTGATCTATGGGTGACGGACATACATGTGGGGGCAACGTTTGTCAGGTTTCCTGTGCCCCAAGCCCCAAAATGTTGGGCACCAATTGCCCCGGCCCATGGGGAATTCAACAAGAACCTAGAGAGGGGAGCAAAAGAATGAAGGGACAAGAGACACAAAGAATAAGCCCCAGTCTAAAAGTCCTGATCAAGTGTTCAAATTTTAATTTCAGACGGCAGGTTATAAAGGCATAGCAAAGTGGGAGGTTTAGGCAAGGATCATTGCTTAAGGCTATCCCACTTTAGTATCCTCATTGCCTAAGACCATCCTACTATCGTAACTTGTTTCTGGGAAATACCAGAGATTCTTTAAGTTCCTGGGGGCTGAAACCACGAATGTCCTTTCTTAACCTTGTACTTTAACTGACTAGGTTTTCCCAGAACAGCAAGTAATTTCATGGGTTTGGTTTCCAGCATATATGTACTACATACATGATTAGAAGTCAGAGGAAGAACATTGGAACTCCAGAACAGGAGTTATGGATAGTGCTATACTACCATGTGGGTACTGAGAACCAAACCCAGGTCCTCTTTAAGAATGAAAGATGCTCATGGCCACTGAGCCACCTCTCCAGCCTCCACAACTTTGAAAAAAAAGTGTGTGTGTGTGTGTGTGTGTGTGTGTGTGAGAGAGAGAGAGAGAGAGAGAGAGAGAGAGAGAGGGTTTCTCTGTGTATCTCTGGCTGTCCTGGAACTCACTCTGTAGACCAGGCTGGCCTTGAACTCAGAAATCTGCCTCCCTCTGCCTCCCAAGTGCTGGGATTAAAGGCATGAACGACCACTGCCCGGCTAGAATTCAATTTTAAGCCTTGATTCTCTCCTACCACATTGTAAGGCCCAGAGATTGACCTCAAGGTGTCAGGCTTGGCCACAAGTGACCTTACTTGCTGAGCCATTGACTTCATAGCCCTAGTTCACTGCCTCCTAAAGTAATTTCTTAGTCTATTAAGGTCACAAGAGTCTCAGACCTCCCATCTCACTGGAATAGTCTCAGTTACTGTCATTCTGACCAGCAAGCCTACTTTTACTATTTATAAGTGTTACTTTCTCCCTGAGAGTCCAGATTGAGTTTCAGTACAGTAGGGGTATCTGCTTATAAGAATTATGTTTCTTTGGGGAAGAAAAAAATGTATGTATGTATGTATGTATGTGGGAAAAAAAAGGCTACAGTGGAGGTGGAGGTTCCGATGGGTTTCCACACGGCTGGTCCCACATACAGGAGAAACGTCTAAGGTTCCAGAGGCTGTAGACTTCTGGGGCGGCAGGCCCCAATGACATGAGGAAATCTTTGGTTCCAAAAGGGTTTATTGTCATGGCAGATGGTGGATGGATCTGGAAGTACCCCCCCCCCCCAACCTCAGGGCAGACCTGAGTTAAATAGGGAGGGAGAAAGGGGGAGGGCCTGGGAAGGAATGCTTAATTTGTTCCGCCCTCTGGCCTTCATTAGTATGTAAATCCCTAGAGCCTGAGGCCTATAGTCACACCCTCTACCTGTGTACTTTGAGAGGGGCTGTAATGGGCTATGCGACTGAACAATGTGGGTCTCTGGAGACTAGACTGCAAGTCAGGACTCTGGGTTCTGGGGACGTGGCTGAACGCCTGCCATTTCTCACTTAGAGTCTCGGGGTTCCAGGCCCATGCCCAACCATGAACAAGGATACCCTCACGCAGTCCAACATATATATGTTGGAGGATATATATATATATATATTTCATACACACAGTTTTTTTTTCTTTTTTGCACTGGCCCTCCACTGAACTAAGTGTCTGGTTTCTCCTCATAGGACCTTGCTAAGAAGTATTCTGAGCGGCTGGAGTGCTGTGAAAATGAAGTGGAAAACATAATAGAGGAAATCCGATGCAAAGCAATTGAGCGCGGCACCGGGAATGAACACTACCGAACAACTGGGATCGCCACGATTGAGCTGTTCCTGCCTCCAAGGCTCCGGAAGGTGAGGAACTTTGAGACTGCTGTGCTGTGCTCAGACGAGCCGTGGTTGTGTTATTGCTTTGCTTGGTTTGTTCTTTTGAGACAGGATCTTTTTGTGTGGTTCTGTCTGTCTTGGAACTCCATATATAGACCAGGTATACTGCTTTTGCCTCCAAAGTGCTGGGCTTAAAGGCATGTGATACCATGCCCAACAAGCTGTTGTTTTTGTAAATCTACAAGCAGCGTTCTTTTTTTTTTTTAATTTTTTATTGGATATTTTATTTATTTACATTTCAGATGTCAACCCCTTTCCCCATCCCTCCCCCAGAAACCCCCTATCCTATCCCCCCTCCTCCACCTTGCTTTTTCTTTATTAGTATTTTAAGTTAACATACAAAGTACTGGGTTTTATTACAGCATCCTCATACATGTGTCATTAGAGTTCTGATTTGTTTCCCTCTGCCCCTTCCCTTTCTTCCTCCAGCTAGTTTCCTCATCTGATTTCCTGTCACATGTATTCCATCACTCTCCCTCCTCATCCTATTTTTTTGTATTAGTAACTTTTTTTAAAAATGTTAATCAAAGGCTTTATAAGTTTGGAAATGGTCAATAACAAGATGCCTATACAATCAGAAGTGTAACCATACCCCCCCGGCGCGCCCCCCCCCCCGTCTCCTAGCTCCTCTCATTCTCCTCCTCCTCCTCTCCTTACACTTCCTCTTCCTCTCCTTACTCTTCCCACCTTAGCTCCTCCTACATATTACCCTTCCTGTTAAAATAAAACTTTTCTCTCAAAATAAAATTAGAGCATAACTATACCAATTTGTATCAGTAAGGTACAAGATAGACCTAATACCCAGTCCAGCATTTTGTTGACTAACCAGAACCTCTGTCATCTCTCCTAACTAAAAGACTTAGTGCTGAACCTGCCTTTTTTCTTGGCTTTATTTAGAATGAATGTCAGCTGAAAACCATCCTCTCAAATCTTTTCTCTCAAAGTAAATAGCTGGGATTGGCTATGAGACTATAAGTCTTCTACCCTATCAAAAATCCAGAATGACTGAATTAACTGAAATTACAGGAAGCACAAAGCATAGCTTCTAAAACTTAGCCAATTTATAGAGACCTCTGAGCACCTGGACAGTCCCTATAAAAACGTTGGAGCATCCGATCTTCAGCCTTCTGGACCAGGTTCATCTGACAGACCTAGTGATGCAGAATTATTAAGGGCTGGTTACTCTGTTGTTACAAGCAGCATTCTTTTTTTTTTTTTTTAATTAAGAAATATATTTATATCGAGAAATGATAAAGATAGGCATCCTGAGGTTTTTTTTTGTCAACTATAAAAAGAATGTAGGGTTATCAATCCAAAAGGCTGCCATAATGATTAAATAATATGTAGTAAAGAACACAACATTCTTAAGAGTGATACAGATAAGTGCTTGACAAATGGTAGCTTCTAGTACCATCTGGACAAAGAGGAAGTTCAGTGATGAGAGCTTCACAATCAGACTGCTTACTACCTCCTCCCCCAGCTTCAGTTGGAGCCAATGAATATGGTCACTGTCAACCTGCCCAGGAACTCTGACTAGATTGCCCAACACACCAAGACAGCTATATAGAAACCAAGATGAAGCTAAAAGTTCCCTGAGGAAGCAAACCGCTAGTAAGAACATTTTAAAGCAGCATTAAAAACAAAAAACAAAACAAAAAAAAAACAGAGACTCACTCACAGGACTTAAAAATTAGAATGATAATAGAGACAACTGAGAAATTTTAACATTAGAAATGTCAACAATACAGTCCTCATGAAAAGTAAAGACGGGAAATGAAAGAATCTTTCCTAGATGTGCGCTTAATGTGCACGTGGTGGTGCACACCTGTAAGCACAGCACTCAGGAGGCTGAGGCAGGAGGATCATTGAGAACCAGGCCAGCCTGGGTTACTTAGTGACACCCTACCTCAAAAAAAAAAAAAAAAAAAGAATAGAGGAGGGATCGGAGTGGGGGAGGTAGAGGAGAAGACAAGAATAGAAGGAGGAGGAAGAGAAGGAGGAAAAGGGAGAGGAAGAGGGAGAGGAGGAAGAAGGAAAAGGAAACAAGAAGAGAGAGGGGAGGAGAAGGAAGAAGATGAGGGAAAGGGGGAGGAGGAGGGAGGGAGAGGAGGAAGAAAAAGAGGGAGGGGAGGAGAAAGGGGGAAGAGGAGGAGGGAGGGAAGAGGAAGAGGAGGAGGGAGAAGAGAACTTGTCTGATGGCTCAGTCAATACATTCATCCTCACATTGGCTTATCCCTAAGACCATCTTGACTTTTTTCTCTATTTCATAATTCATCTAATTTCCTTCTGTTCCCAGTAGGAATTTATTTTCAAAGAAATTCATTTTTATTCTTTAGACTTTTTTTCTTCTGTCTTCTAACCATAGAAATAAAAGGCTTTGGCAAAATGAAAAGAAAATGAGCCAGGCTTGGTGACGCGTACCTTTAAACCCAGCACTTCAAAGAGATGGAGGCAGGAAGATCAGGGGTTCAAGGCTGGCCTCGTCTACCTGACAATTGGGCTCATAAGACCTGCCTTACTCCCCAAAAGAAAAAAAATCAAACTACTGTACAAGCAGCATTCTTAAGGAACACTATGTGTTGAATAGTTGATGATGTAGACTTATCTTCACACATTTAAGGTAGGCTTGTTCATGTCTGACCTTCAAAGCATGGGCCACAGAAGTGAGGCATGATAGTGTATATTATAATTGCAGCCCTTGGGAGGCAGAGGCCTCCCTGTAGTTTAAGGTTGTCTTCAGTCTATGTGGTGAGTTCAAAGCCAGCCCATGTGACTCTCTCTTTTTGAAAGTAAAACAAAACAATGTCACATGGGCCAGGGAGATGACGTAGCAGATAAAGGCTTTTCTTATCAAGCCCAGTGACCAGGGTTTACCACACAAAACCTAAGTACTAGACTCAAGTCAGTAAAAGTGCCTGCTGTGCAAACATGAAGACCTGATTGGATCTCTGGGATCCATGTAAAAAGCCAGCTGTGTAAGGGTTCCTGTAACCCTGCTCTGGCTGGTACAGCATCATGGGGATGTGTATGGAGCTCTGAAGCTCATTGGCCAGCCGAATCAGTGAATCAATGAGAGACTCTATTACAAAAAGAAAACATGGAAAATAATCAGGAAAAGGCACCTGTCATCAACCTGTGGACTTCACACATGCTTGCTTACACATGCACACCCACACTAGCAAGTACACCCACCACACACCAGCTCTTGTAAGAATAAACTGACGGTAAGCGTTCACAGCAGGCTAAGGTAGACACAGCCCAGCATCCATCAGTGGATGTGTGGATGAGCAGATACACCTACACCACAGAAGACAACTGGTGGGACAGATACACGATACTAATTGTCTCTTTCTCTGTCCCTCTCTGTCCCCACTCTAAAACTCTCAGCTCGCCTTCCTTTTCCCCTGCCCAATCACAGGCTCTAACCTTATCTTTTGCCTGTCCTCACCTGCGTATAGGCAGCAATCCACAGTCCTGGTTATGTGAAATGTCCAAAAAGACAACTCCAGAGACAAGAAATAAATGGTTGCAAGTCTGGAGGAAAGAGGATGGGGTTCAGGACATGGTGCCTTGTGAGGGGTGATGAGATGGGAGGGTTCATAAATTCCATTAAACATTTTCTTAAGATTTTATTTTTGCTGGATGGTGGTGGCACAAGCCTTTAATCCCAGCACTAAGGCTGAAGCAGGTGGACCTCTGGGAGCTTGAGGGAATGGGTGCTGGAAAGTTCAGGTCCTCTGTAAAAGGAGTATATACTCTTAACCACTGAGCCATCTCTCCATTTGATTAGAATGGTGGCTGGCATGTGGCGGATCCCACTGAGCTGCCCTACCTATTGCACCCATAGGACAATCAGGTCACCCTGTTGGTCTGTGCTGGACTGTTGTACATGCTTCTCCATACAGGCAGTGTTTTTTGTCCTTAAGTAGAACCCTGTGTTTACATCCTGACAGCACCTTACAACTTCACATGCAGTGTGTCACATTCAAGTATGTTTTGTTTTCTCTTTTTGCAACAGGATAAGAAAAGCTTGTTGGAGACCCGCTTGCATGTCACTGGTAGAGACCTGAGGCATAAGTGAGTATCTGAGTTGTGTCCCTGCAGGTCTGCCCCTCTTACCCTGCTTCTGGATGCTCTCAAGCCATCCTGTAAGCTAGCCAGCTGGCCCTTAGAGCAGAGAAAGGAAGCCTGGAGGGTGGGATGACAGGCATGCTGGGCTCACTGCTTCACAAGAGGCAACATGGAGCTTCTTAGATGTAGTGCAGCTTTCAGAGAGTTGCAGCTTGGTGCCCACAGAGGAAGTGCCCAGCTGTACTGGAGTGAGCGGCTGAGGGGTGGAAGCCTGAGCCGGTCGCTCACCAAGAGAACACATTTATAATTCCATTCCTTTGTGCGAAGGCTAGCCATCCCAAGTGTTCCTTTAGCTTGTTTGTCTCACTTCTTCAGCGTCCATTGGGGTTAAGGAGAACCAGGAAGTACCACTCATTCAGTGCCCGCAAGGAGACAGTGGTATAGGATAACCCTAGTTAGTTTCAGGGTCCTTAGAGGATGTTTTTGACTCCTACCCTGTAGTCCTTAACTCAGAAACAAGTTTAAAAAGGGCTTGTCTCACGTGGCTTCCAGCAGCCACCCACTTATAGCTCTATTGTAAGTGATGTTCACTGGTCACTGGGTGGAAGGCCTGGGTGTTTATGGGTAGAAAGTATAAAGCAGCGAAGTGGACCTCACAATCCAAGTCTCTGCGGTAGGCAGCAAGCGACAAGCTTGCTTTCCTGGAGCTCACTTTGCCTTTATTTTATAGAATAGCTGAAACTTTCGGATTTCAAGAAAATTACATCAAGATCGTAATAAATAAGAAACAGCTTCAACTAGGTATGTCATAGCAAAGTGCGCCTCTGACGCAGGCGTAATGACTGTTTCTGTGTTCTGTGTTGGTCTGTTTTGCTTTTCCTCTATTGAAACCTTCCTGGCCTTGTTGCGTTAATTCTCCAGAGTTAATTCTATTAGAAGTTTACCATAATAAAAATGTTAGGCAGAAAAGATCATTCCAGTAAATAGTCACTGGCTTTCTCTGGCTAGTGGGAAAGGGAGACATTGATTGCAGTCTCATGGAATGTTCCAGAATGGAAGTTTATGCTGAGGGAAGGATCAGAGTTACTTATAGTTTGCCTATGAGAAACGAGAACCCTGAGAGAGACAGATGAACAAGGCCAGGCTGAAGCACTCTGCTAACAGCCAAGGGAACTGACTGGGGTCTAGTGTGGGGTGTAGACCTTTCTGATTGCCGAGGGCAGACAGGAGCCATGTGAGTCTTCCAGCAGTGACTCTCAGCCAGGAAAAATTTCCTTGTCCAGAGGACAGTTGACTGTGAGGAGAGAATTTTGGTAATAGCTGTGTTGTGGGGGAGGGCTGCACTTCTGTTGTTTCCTGAGTCAAGGTCAGAGTTACTGCTAAATACAAAGCAGAACCCAAAAATGTCCATGGCCCAGGCTGCCGAGAAGCCGGTGGACATGAGCCTTGTTCAGTATGGAGTTTGTCATCAGAGAAGTGGGAGGTAACAATGCTGCAAGGTGGCACAGAGACATACGTGGCTCACAGACCCCTGGGAGCAGACTGCAGGAGGCATGAGTGGAACTAGACAAGCATTAGCTCTTGAGCAGCCCAGGGTCCCTCAGGAATCTAAGGTTTGAGTTTCTAAACACAGCCTTCCCAGTCTCTTGGCAGCTCTAGCTGACCCCCTTGTATACTCTTAACTGACATCCATCCCTGTGTTCTGCTCTTCACTGAACAGAAACTCTTAATTTTGATGCTGATCAAATCATTGCCTTATATTTTGTGTTTGTTGAAGATGCTCTGCCCAAGCCCAGGACCACAAGGGTGTTCTCCACTTGTCCACTAGCATCTCCCTTTGTCCCTGAAGGGTCAGCTTGGTGTTCCTCCAGTGTCAACTGCTAGCAGCCAGTAGGCACTGCTGGTTTAGGAGGTCTGTCCTTCCTGCACTTCTGCTCTTCCCACGCTTCTACAGGGTTTCCCTTCCTGTGGTTTGTTTCTTTTGTAACCTTAAAATGCAGTGGGGTGCTGGATTATGGCCCAGTGGGTGAAATACTTTCTGCCTAGGTATATGGGAACCTGAGGTTGGGTCTGTAGCACTCTTGCATGTTGGGTGTGGTGGCACACCTCTGTAACACCAGCTCCATGAGATACAGATTGGTAGAGATGGGCACATCCCAGGGCTCTTTGGCCAGCAGCTTAGCTGAAATAGTGGACTCCAGATTCAGTGAAAGACCCTACTGCAAAAAATAATGTGGAGGCACTGGAGAGATGGCTCAGAAGTTAGGAGCACTTACTGCTCTTGCGGAGGTCCCAAGTTCTACTCCTAGCATCCGTACAGTGGCTCACAATCATCAATAACCCAGTGCTAGGTGATCCAACAGACACACATGTGGTATACATACAACATGCAGGCCAAAATATTCATTTATACCAAGTAAAATAGATAGTCCTGAAAATCATTGAAAAGAATAATGTGGAGGAGCAGTTACAGAAGACCCTTGATGCTGACCTGTGACCTTCATTCCCACCCTACACAAAAAAGTCATCAAGTGGGCTGGCAGTAGTGGCACCTTTATCCCCAGGCAAGTCTCTGAATTCAAGGTCAGCCTGGATCTAGCCAAATAACTTCCCCTCTTGCCACCTCTCTTGGGTGGGTGGAACTTGAGTTTTGAATCTGAATGTTAGAACTGGTTGTCATGTTTCTAAAAGAAGCACAAAGAAGCTGGTGTCTGTCTGGGCTGGCCTCCCTTCTTTTGTTGGCGGGCATTTCAGCATCCTTCTTCTAGGTGTGTTTGTTGCATTTGGCTAACCTTTCCCTGGGCTGGCTACACACTTCTCTTTGATGGGTTTCTGCTCTTGTCTTTATTTCTACCTATTGCCAGAGAAAACAGTCCTAGAAAAGCAGGTGAGTTAGGTGTGTAGGGTGGGAAAACAGGCAGGTGCCTGTAGCCTCTGCTTTTCACCATGGCCAGAGCTGGCCCTGTTGTCCTTACCTTGAGTCAGTTTTTTTCTCAACAAGAGGATAGGCAAGTCTGTGTTTTGATTACACTTTCTAGGTTTCCTTTTATCCTGCCTGGTGTAGTGCACTCAAATATTCATTGCTTAAGGCTGGTCTTAGGGTGAAGAGAAAGAAAACAGGGAAGAGTGAACGTCCTGCTGGTCTCCAAGTGGGAATAAGTGCAGGGTTTGAATCCTGTTTTCCAGGCTGGTGGAGAGGTTCAGTGGGGAAACTGGCTGCCAAGCCTGGTGACTTGTGTTTGGTCCTGGGATCCCACATGGAAAAAGCAGAAAAGTGGCTTTGTGCATGTTGTTCATAAATGCACCCATGCGTGCATGTGCGCATGCACACACACACACACACTTATTCCAAAATAAATAAATTATCTAATTAAAAAAAGGACTCCATTTACCACAGGAAATGGACTGTTGCCCAGGAAGTTTGTGTGACAGGCAATTCTGCTGTTCCCAGGGAAAAGCCTTGAAGAACAAGGAGTCACTCACAATGTGAAGGCCATGGTGCTGGAGCTGAAACAGTCTGAAGAGGACGTGAGGAAAAACCTTCAGCTAGAGGAAGAGGAACAGAACGAGGCTGAGCTGAAGGAGAAACGCATTCAGAGGACCAAAAGGGGACTGGAGATCCTGGCAGAGAGAGGTACACCATTTTGGCTTGTCATCTCCCTAGATGCACCCAGACAGCACACAGATGAGTATTGTGCCTCTTCACAGTCTGGCATCTCAAGAATAGTCATTGTTGTTTGGCCCTGAATTAATGAGGCTCCTGTGGCTTTGTTGCAGCTGAGATGGTGGTGGATCCGGAAACGACGCCTTACTTAGACATTGCGAACCAGACAGGCAGGTCAATCAGAATTCCCCCTTCGGAAAGAAAAGTAAGTCCAGTTTGGGAGGCTTGCCCTGGGAGTGGCTCACTGTGGGTCTGTGTTTGTTTCTTGGAGTCAGGAGCTTCTTAGGATGAAGAGCTCTGACTCACTCCGGATCAAGTTCATTTTAGGGTATTTGTTTCACTTTGTATCTTTTTGATATTTAAATGACAATTGGGGGTAAGCCTCACTACTTGAATTATTCTGTTTAAAATGAAGAATTTGGGGACTGGAGGGACGGCAGCTGGTAAAGGTTCTTGCTCTCAGCCTGCTGACCTGGTCCTCATAACCTACATGGTGGAAGCAGAGAGCTGGCTCCCTATTACATTCACATGAACTCTGTGACACGCTGTACCCATGACTCAGACCAATGCACATACACAATAATTAAAGATTATATAATGAGGTTGTAAGCTGTACATGGTAGTACAGATCTGTAATCCCTACACCTGGGGAGGCTGGGGACCAAGCCCTCTTTTAGTACACAGTCTAAGCCATTGTAACCTTTTAAAAATGGCTTTGGAGGGCCAGCAAGATGGTTGAGCAGGTCAAAGTGCTTGCTATCAAGCATAGCGACCCAAGTTCTATCTCGAGAACCTGAATGGTAGAAAAAGAGTCCTGAAATTTGTCCTATGACAGCTGCATATGTGCTATGGTACAAATGCACACGCATGCCCACATACACACAAATAAATGTTTAAAGAAAGCTGTCTAGGAAATGTTGGCGTTGTCAGATAAGTGTGTGGTGATACTGCTTGTGAAAGTGGAGGATGAGAGACTGATGCAGGAGTCTGATGAGTAAGGGACCTCAAGGTAAAGGCAGAACCACAACCAAAACTCTGCTTGATGACCTTAGGTTCTTACTTGGACAGTCTTGCTGCTTAGGGCAGGCTGGCCTCCATCCTGTGGTCCTCCCTCCTCAGCATCCCATATGTGATCACAGCCCACAGTACCATACCTGCAGTGCTGCTTAGGAAGGCCACAAAAATTCCTGGCTGCTCATCATCTAGTCTTAAAACTAAAACAGATGTGGCTCAGCAGGTGGAAGGAGAGCGTGAGGAAAGGGGTGGGGGCTGGCGCCACTCAGACTTTGGCGTGGCGTGTTTTATTAATTCTGTACTAACTTGTTTGAAAGTACTAATTTTAAAAATTTACCTTCTTTCCTAGGCCCTTATGTTGGCTATGGGATACCATGAGAAGGGCAGAGCTTTCCTGAAAAGAAAAGAGTATGGAATAGCCTTGCCTTGCCTCCTGGATGCCGACAGATACTTCTGGTAGGTGCTTTTGCAATCAGCAGATACTAGTGTAAGGGGAGGCCCCCAGCACCCTCCTGCCTGTAACTTCAGACTGATTTCCACCCCATAGTGGTTTCTGGGAGCAAGGAATTAAGGCACAGAACAGTATGTGGTGGTTTCCTCCTTTGTATTTCTAACTAGCCCCCTTGCCTGTGTAGAACACCCACTCATTTCCACCCTAGTCTGTAGGCTCGGCCCCGCAGGGTGCTGCCACCAGAGCTGCTTCCACCTTAGGAGTGGTGCCAGTGCGGACAGTGCTGGCCCGAACTCCACTACCCTGCAGACTGCAGATGTGACACCAGCACTCTTCTGCAGTTGCTGCTGGATTTCTAGGAAAAGAAGCTTTTGCCTCAGGAGCTGTCTGGTGTTGCTGAGGTGCAGTGTGTACAGGAAGAAAAGGAAATGCCTAGCTCTTTTCACCTTATTTCCTAGTTTTCAGATTTAGTTAGTTCCTCAAAGATGATCAAACTAAGGCTTGCTTTTTTTTTTCCTTCATCAGTATTAACTGGTGAAGCCAAGAGTGAATTCTGCTATCTCAGCACAAGTTGTAGGCCAGCCTGGGCTACCCTGCAAGACCTTCTCTCCTGAGGGTGGGTGGAGATATATACATACACACATGCACACATACGTTTTAACATGAGCTATTACACATCCGATCTGATGTGCTTCATACATCTGTGCTTGGTTTCTCCAGTTGTGGCTGTCTCTGTGTCCTTTTTCCCTGATGCTGGTAGTTTCCCAGGGTTCCTAGTTCCTGTTGGTGGAAATGGTAGAGAATGTACTCTGGTCATGTTGGATGCTGAGATAGACTGGTTCTGGAAAATGGTCAAAGCCTCAGTGTGAACTTTCTGTTTAGTGAATTCCTATGACAATCTTCTATATGTCAAAAAACAAACAAACAGACAAAAACAAATACAAATGTTTTCAGTGCTGTTGAGTCTTAAATGTATAAATCTCAAGCTAACTTATTACAAAGAAGAGACTTATTGCCCAAATGTTTAGAGGAGATGGAAAAGCCCAGGCTGGGAGGAGCAAGCCCTCTGTCACTGCTGCTTTGTTCTCTTCTCATGCAAATGCTGGGACTAAGTTTAGTTCTTAGAGATAAGGTAAGGGGGTGAGGGGAGCAGAGCTGTAGGTAGAGCTTTGATGAGCTTCAGAAGGCTCAGTTTGGCTGTAGTAGGTGTCTAGATTCCTCTGTGGAGGCCTTTTTCAACCTTCTCTCCCTGGACTAATCATTTAAATGATTTCAGAGCTTGAATGAAAGTACCCATGTCATCATTATGATACACAAAGATACTCATTAAGTAGCAGGCATAATAATTAAATAATAACTGTCAGTGCCTTTAAAGTATGTGTAGTCAGTCATCTTTCCTCTGTGGTTGTGAATACACAAGGTGATTGGCTTAGGACAGGGTTTATGGACAGACAGTTTTAGAGGCTTTAGCTCATAACCAGTTGGCCATATTGCTTCCATGTCTCTCTGTTTCTACTGCTTTGTGGTGTGAGTGCATGGTGGGAAACTGCGCTGTGCACCTCAGGGTGGCTGAGAGAGAGAGAGAGAGAGAGAGAGAGAGAGAGAGAGAGAGAGAGAGAGAGAGACACTAGCCATCAGTATTCCCTTCAAGTACACCCACAGTGCTTAGGCCCAAGCTGTCATATGTGGCCCTTGGGGAACATTCCAGATATAATGGTAGCGAATGACCACTTTCCTGTGGGAATCTGTCCATTCTGGCCCATCTGTCTGTGCGCTTGTATGATTTTTCTTCATGAAGGAAGTCAACTGTAGCAGGAGCCCCAGTGCTGACGGAAGAAACTTTGGCCTTCCATTTTCTTTCCTTATTTTTCCCCTTTCCCAAAGTAAACAGAAATTCATGACTTTTCACTCATCTTATGTACAGTGGCTACTATGCCAAGAACAGTTTCTTTTCCCATTATATGTGTGTCTGTCTGTGTCTAGAAATCAGCCTGGTCTTGTGCTTTACCATGAGCCATACCCATAGCCCTCTTTGCCTGAGGGAGCAACAGGACTGACTAGGTTTACTGTGTCATGTGAAGGACCTAAAAAGCCTGGCAAAATAAAGCAATAATCAGCTGCTCCTAGAAGTTCAGGGTGGGCAAAGACAGGTAGGGCCTCACCCTAAGTTCAAGTAGAGCTAGGTGTCCAGGCAGACAAGGAGGCCAGGGAGAGGGCTCCCTTGAGTGTTCAGTGAGGTGAGCAGCATCACATGGGGAGAAACTGCCCACTGCAGGATAGGGACCACTCGGGAGAAATAGCAGGTGGTGCCCACAGAGGATCAGGAGCAGTTGAGTCTAAACCAACAGGAATAGACAGCCCTGGTCCCAGGGCAGCAAGGAGAACTTTTGGAATGGATTGTCTCCGAAAGGAGCCCAGAGACCTCTGTGGTCCTCAGCCCAGCCTAAAGGTTTCCATGAACAGGAAGCCTCTGTTTTCATGTAACTTTAATGCATCCCTAATATGACTCAATATTTAGTTACCAAAATTACACAGCTCCCAATGACAAATCTGTAGCTCACAGTGACGTGAAGAAGGGAGCCAGTGAACGGAAGCAGCTTCAGACACTGCAGAGGCAGACTGCAGTTAGTCGTCAGGGCAGAAGCAGTAGCTATGTTCCTTGGGTACAAGAAGGCGTGAGCAGGTGACAGGGTGGTGTGGGAGCTGTGCAGAGGCTCACAGAGACACCTCAGATGAAGAGAAGGGAATGGCCACAGGGGAAGTGCACAGGGTATAGAGTAAGCATGGCAGAAACAGTAAGTGTGAAGGAAGAGCAGTAGAAGTCTTCCAACATGACAGAGATTGCTGAGATGGGAGAGGGCCTCGAGAGCTATATAACACATGACAGTCTGCTTCATAAAGCCAGTAATAAAACCAGGAATGGCCTTTTACCCCACTTCTCTAGAAAAAAGATACCTAAGTTTAGCTTATTGTATCATAAACTCATTAGAAAACATAAGAAATCCTGTTGGGCTGGAGAGGTAGCTAAGTGGTTAAGAACACTGACTGCTCTGGCAAAGGACCCAGGTTCAGTTCCTAGCACACACATCCAGTGTCCACTCCAGTTCCTGGGAATCCAGCACCTGTAAAAGCATGAACTTTTCTAGCCTGCCCTTATTCCTAAATGATGACATGAAGGCCTTTATATATAAGCCTCAGGCACTATAGCTGAGCAAATTCTGATCTATTCTCACCTGACTTTGCTCCCTGGCCTATGTCCCAGCCCCCTGGTGTTACCTGCCATCTTAGTCTTGTTCTGGTGCCTCCTTCATTCATGGCAACTCCCCATGCCCACCTGAGTCCCTCTCTTCTCCCTCCCTCTGGGGATGGAAGTCCCACCTTTTCCTCTGTTGCCCAGCAATAGGTTGATTGGCCCTACAGACCAGTGAGAAAGTGATGAAGAATTATGTTTTACAAAATACTGAGTCAGGAGATGCTTCATCATAACAGCAATACCAAAGTCCAGACTGCACCCAGATCTCTGGTACTGAAGTAACATTCAAATATGCAGTGTAAAAAAACATCCCCCAATAAACACCCTCTTCTGGTCTCCATAGGTACTGCATGGAGAGACACACACACACACACACACACACACACACACACACGTAAATTCTGGTATGAAGTCTTAAGTCAAATTAACTTTAGTACTTTCATTTTAAAACTGTTTCAACATTTCAAAATTTGTTGAATAGCAAAGCTTTTAAAACTGCAAGCAAAGAGATTATTAATAGAGATACACCTTTTTTTTCCTTACCGTTTTTTGAAGCAGAGTTTCTCTGCGTAGCCCTGGCTGTTCTTTAAAACAGTTTTATGCTGGGAGGTTTTTGTTTGTTTGTTTGAACTTTCCCTTCGCAATTGGCACCATCAGGTTCAAATTTAAGCCTCTCAGTTTCTTTTTTTTTTTTTTTTTTTTGGTTTTTTGAGACAGGGTTTCTATTTATAGCCTGGGCTGTCCTGGAACTCACTCTGTAGACCAGGCTGGCCTCGAACTCAGAAATCCGCCTGCCTCTGCCTCCCCAAGTGCTGGGATTTAAAGGCATGCGCCACCACTGCCCGGCAGCCTCTCAGTTTCAAAACTACAGTGCAGGTATTTGTTTCTTTTCCTTTCTTTTCTTCCTTCCTTCCTCTCTTTCTTTCTTTTCCTCCTTCCTTCCTTCCTTCCTTCCTTCCTTCCTTCCTTCCTTCCTTCCT